GTGGTACCCATTCTTTATCCCTAGTCTGCCGGGGCAAGGGACGTTGGGTTCTCTTCTTCTTCTTCTTGCTCAGCAGTTGCTCCATCATCTCTCTTAGAGAGTCGATGGTCGCCTGCTGTGCCTCCAACTTTTGAGCCATTGTCTGCTCGTGGTTGGTATCGGTCATGTGCGCCCTCGCCTGCGCGTCTTGACTTGAGCGCGAGGTCTGGGATGTGGCCGCCGCCGAATGAACCTCATCTTCGCCGCAGGAGGGAGGTATTAGGGTGGAATAGTCAAACCCAATACTTACCCCCCGGCGACTACGGGTTCGCTGGAATATGCCTTCCTGCCGGCGTCGGGCGGACCGGGTGCCAACTTTTGAGCCGTTGTCTGCTCGTGGTTGGTATCGGTCATGTGCGCCCTCGCCTGCGCGTCTTGACTTGAGCGCGAGGTCTGGGATGTGGCCGCCGCCGAATGAACCTCATCTTCGCCGCAGGAGGGAGGTATTAGGGTGGAATAGTCAAACCCAATACTTACCCCCCGGCGACTACGGGTTCGCTGGAATATGCCTTCCTGCCGGCGTCGGGCAGACCGGGTGTTAGGTCTTAAGACGGAGTCCGAGTCTGGCGAGTCGGAGAGTACCGCCTTCCCTTTATCCGTCATGTTGACTGTGGCGGATGAGAGTTCCAGGTCGTCAGCAGCGCGTCTTTTCTGGTGACGGCGCCTTCGACGGGAGGGCCTCGGTCGAGAGGCCTGTTGAGAAAGCCTCTCAAATACCGAAGGTTTCGCCGTTCCAACGCATTGGCAGTCGGCGAGGACCGTGTGGATGAGTCTCTCGCAATGACACTGAGGATTCGCCTCGTGAATAGTGCGTTTGCGAGTCAAGAATTCTCTGAGGTCTTCTACGGGTGGTTGGTGACAACCCCCGGCCTCAGAAGAGTCGCTCTGGTGAGCTGACGAGAGATTTTTGGGCGCTCTCTCTGGCGCGTGTTGGGTGGAACGCCTTGGTGTTGGAGTCAGGCGATCTCGCCTTGACTGGCGAGTCTTCGCGTTTGAGCGAACTCCAGTACGTGGGCGAGTTTCGACCCCATGTTTAGAAGAGCGGGTTCGGGAGGAACCGCCTATTTCCTTTCCTTTACGTTTATCCGCCAAATGATTATGGCGAGGCTCGCCAGCCTTCGAGGATTCGCCTACTTGGGTAAGCTCGTATGCTCGGTGTGGTTTGTTCGCATCAGGGATATGACCTGAGAAGCGAAGTCCTCCTGAGCGGATGGCTCTGCTGTCCTCGGTTGACGCTCCTGATTTGGAGGGCCTTCTGAGGTCGGGCAGCTTGCCTTCCCGTCTAGTGTTTCTCGGGCCTGTGTGATGGTTCAGGCCATTATGAGAAATGGAGGTTTGGACCCCCTGTCTGACGGGTGTTTGCCGTCGCTGTTGGTTAGTTCTCCCAGCGGGGAGAACATCACCGTGGGTTGTGGCATTGCGGTTTGTGCCGGAGTGAACCGGCGCTTCCTCCGAGGTAGGTGTCTGTGTGGACCGCTTGGCGATCCATCTGGCAGACCCTTGCCTCTTGCGCTCGATCTCTGGCTTGGCCTTGATCGATCGCGAGGGAGTGGGCTCCTCCGATGAGACTCGGTTGGAACCCTCGGGTGTGGAGGTTTTGACCGTCTGAGGTCGGCCTCGGCGCACAACTCTGTGGCGTTTGCGGGACGCATTGCCACCCGAGGAGGAGGAGGACAAGTATTCTTCGTACTTGGCCTGGTCGAACTCGATTTCGAGGGACTCTACTGTCGTCCCGATAGTAACCTCATCAAATTGAGCCACCACCATTTCACTCGATGAAACAGCTGCTCCCACTGTGGTCGCCATCTTCTGTAGGGTGAAAATTTGATTCTTCCGAAGGAAGGAGTTTCGTTTGTATTTATAAGAAAGCTTATTACAAACTAACAAATCAAATGTTTACAACAGAAGCAGAGGGAAGGCCCTCTTTGTTTTGTGTGGGGACTTTAGGTGGCTATAGGACGCTTCGCTCGATGGTCGGGTCGAGTCTGCTTCCCTTGGACCGTTTGAATGAGGTTGCTGGAGAGCTTCAGTTCTCAGTAGAAGCTCGGGGCAATGGAGTTCGGGTCTGCTTGGTTCGTCGGCGATCGGAGCTCGGAACTAGGCAGCAGTGCTGTAATGCAAGGATTTGCTAACAGCTTGGTCTCAACTCTTTTTTCTCCAAGTTTTGCGACCTCTCTTCCATCGTGCTGGAAGGGGTTTTTTAAATGAAAGAAGGACAACTTGATTTCTCCTTGAATTGTGGGATGTGACCACATCCTCTTCAGAGACGTCTCGCCGTTCCTCGATATCATGAACGGTCATTCCAGGGATTGTGTTCTATGTCCTGTCACCTACGATGGGAAGGCCCATTCTTGTATGTGAGGCAACAAACGACTGCTATCCGAGTGGATTTGACCAGCATTAATGAACCGCATTTATGAGTTCGCAGATCGATGAAGTGTCTGTCCGATCACTTGTACTGTGCGTGACCGCCCGGCGTGCTTTGAGCACGATGCTTTCTCCTTTCCGGCCACATGTAGAAATTGTGAGTTTGAACTTGAAAATAACAAGTGATGATTAAAAAAATAATGCAAGTGCCCTGAATGGAAACTCTGAAACAACCAAGGGTTTAGCATTCCATTAGAAAAATGTATATGTGTTTAAAGAATAGCATTAAAAACTATAGGGGCCAAATATGATTTTATGTCATGTTAACTGGACATATACAATAATACCTTGGTGTTGGTGTTACTGTTTTCTTCTCAAGAATATGTAATTTAAGAGCATTTCCCTAGCAATGGTCACTTCCGTTAATACTAAGCAAAACCAAATAATATTCATGGTAATAGGAAATGCTATCAGCGTAAATGTGCAAATTTAACACAATATATGAATTTTTACAAACTAGCAGAAGCCGCAGAACTTCTCGCCAGTTTCATCAACATGAGCACATAAACATTTCTTTTTTTATTTTATTTATTTTTTGAATAGCAATTAACTAATAGTATTAATTACTAGTTATGCCAACAAATAATGAAAGCAATTAGATTAGATGAACAACAATAAAATTGCTTAATAAACTGAAAAATTCCCGAGTGAATAGTAACCCTCGGTGAATAGTAACAATTTTTTTTTAATTTTCCAGTTGTCATATATTATTCTACGGATTATAGTAATTACCTCTAGATCAAAGATCTAGGGACGATCGATACTAAAGATCCGTAGAACGCTGCCTCCTTGCGATGATCCGTCGAACGCTCCCGCTGCAACGAACCAGATCTCAATGCGCAAAAGAGGAAGGAAATATATATATTTTTTTATGGCTCAGGGATTCAAGAACACTTCGTGCTGATAATGTGTTTGAAACCCTTACCTAGGCCAAAGGCCTATGATGTATATTTATAGATAGTCAATGTGAATAGGTTGAGTACCCAAGAGTCACCCCCACTTAATGGGGTGTGAATGGAGGGATAATGAGGGGGAGGCCAAAGGCCTCCCACATCTCATAATACTTACTAATTTTTCAAATAAGTTTTATATATTTTCTTAATTTAACTTATTTTATATTCCCTTAACTTCCTTTTACTAGGTGCAAATCCAAACAAGTCCTTAGGAGATATTTTTTAAAAGGGTCTCCATGTAATTAACCCTTTCTGATATTTGGCCTACATAATATTGTATATTTGTGTTTACCAAAAACTTTGGGTCCCCTATTTACCTTTCCCCGCCTCTACTCTCAACCTATTTCTTCTACAAAAGCATCTGCTTTCTATCATCTCTACAGATCCTTCTCTCTCAACAAGCCATCAAATGCATTCCTCTAACCTCAAGCTTGGTCTCAAGTCAAACATCTTCATCAGAACCTCCATCTTGTCTTGGATGTCTAACTCCAAATGCCAATGATTCTAACGCAACGTGGAAGTGATAAACCACAGAATTCACTAATGGGTGCTCTTTAAATCCACAAAGAATGATCTTCGAATTCACGAAGAACTTCGAATCCACGAAGAAAATATAATAATATAAATTTTGTTGATAAAAGTAATTTGTTTATTCCAGGGTTACATGACTCTTCTTAAATAGAAAAATAAAATAGACTCCTAATAAGACTAGAATTATAAAGAAATAGGAAATATTAAATCTTATCCTAAAAAAGACTCTCTATAATAGAGGAAACAAATCAGTCTAACATGAATCAAATTTGAATTTGTTTCCTAATCTAAATAGGCTCTAACTTTATTACTAAAAATAAACTAAATATTAATTGTTTTCGGATTTCTGCTAATAATTGGTGATACTGATGAGATTTTAGAAATCTAACAAACCGGTTGGTTTCGTCTCGTCGAGATAGACCATTTATATAATATGTAAGAATCCACCTTCTGGATTGGAAGATATGATCGTTTCTTTCCGAAAATTAATAACTTGTATGTATCCGCATTTAGTTTGTAATTATCCTGATCCTCTGTGAATAGTCCGTCAAGTGACCTACATCAGATTCTATGAGCCTAGCAGCTGTTCGATGAAATGTCGTACGATAACTCACCCACTTGTAAATAGAGTGTTGCAGCGCAGTAGATATATACGAGGACTAATCAGCTTGTTTCAGTTATGCTCTTTTCAATCTGCAACTGGAATGATCGCCCTTTATTGATGGACTACATGATTGACTCTTCTTTTGTGTCTTGCGTGCAATAGGAGATATCTTTTGCATAGAGCTCTATTTACTCGGTAAACAGGGCCGCTTGGTTAAAACTTGGAAAATGAGGATTGCCACCCACAATTTTTTTTTCTACATTTACATTAGATTATTATTGTTTTCCTCAAAAATGGGAATGTTTTCACAGATAAATCATGCATCATAGACCAAAAGAATTCTTTGTTTCTTGAAAGATGAAGCAAAACATTAAAGTAAATATTCTTACTTAATTTCATGTATCGGACAACATTGACATCTCAGGAAACATCATCTGTCACTTACATCGCATTCAGAACAAAGCAAAAGAAAATTACCAGCAAAGTATACTTACAGTACTGCATTCATATATCATACAACAAGACCATTCTTATATTTCCTTTGAAAAAAGGAAGGGGGGAAAAAGACCATTCCTAAAGAAAAACTAAAATCACACTGCAACATTCTCATCCGTGACTCTGACCTTAGAGTTCTGAGACCTGTACTTATACCACCTCGCCCAGAGCATGAAGATTAACAAGTTGATAAAACTAAGCACTGCAAGCATCCAGTAAAAGTAATTCACATGATTCCTGTTAATATTGAAGCCAACAAGCCACCCTCCAGTAGCCGTATTATTCTCCGTCGCATCATTCACCCAGTCAACCACAACATTGCTCATAAAATACCCAATAGCAGTCGATATCCACAGAAAACACGTTGCGCTCGACTTGAGACCTCTTGGTGCCTCCGAGTAGAAAAACTCAAGAAGCCCGACAAATATGAGCACCTGTGATATCCCATAGAAGAAATACTGGAACGAAAGCCAGAAGAAACTTATTGGCAGAAGCTCTTGTAACGGTATCGCATCCACCATATTATGTGATTCTGCAACATTTTTGCGCTTCACCTCAAGAATTGCGCCTGCAATCATTGCTATGATCGAGAACACTATGCCAGAACTGACGCGTTGGAGGTGCGTGATGCCCGTGCTGAGCCCGGTGAACTTACGGGCAAAGGGGACAAAGACGTAATGGTAAAGGGGAATGAGGAAGGCCATGAAGAGATAGCCTAAGAAGGGTGTGGCTGGGACTTCTAGATTGTTGAGGTAATAGTCCATGGTTATGCCTTGGTTGATGGAGTAGTTTAAGAAGTCAGTTAGGCATATGCTTGTGATGATGGTACTAAGGAAAATGGGGATCATTGAGAGGATGATCTTTGTGGCCTCAACTTGGCTCACCCTGCAGAGGCCTGAGTTTTGTTCTCCTGACTGCTGGATTGCTGCCTTGTCCAAGAATCTGTAATGAAGAATTTTAAGGAAATGTATACGTTTCTGAACAAGATGTTGCAATGATTAAAATTTAGAAATTTCTCTGGATAAGATAGAATGGTTATTTGCAGGTGAGCTATATGTACCATGGAGTCTAGCTACTTGTCCTGATTTTTTCTGCTGTTTTTAAACTTTCCTGAGAACCAAATGGGATATGCTCTCTGCGAATGTCTAAGTCTGACCATCACATGATTCTCATAGGAGTTTTAAAAACTAATGAAAAATAAGCAATCACAAGCCATAGGAGGTGCAAGTACTAATAAAATTGAACAGGACTGATAAATAGCTATTCTGTGAATAAACTTAGAGAGAAAGATTCAAACCTGAAAGTATCGGTATGCGGCAGAAAATCTACATCCTGAGCATAAGGGATTTCATACAGTTGCTTTAGATTCTCAGGGAGGTTAAGTTTACGGTTCTTGTATGCTGCTACAAAAACCTGAAACACAAAGTTGCTGGAGTAATCAATATTCCTTGAACTGAGGAAATGAACAGAGAAATGTCAGTTCTCAAGGGACCACAAACCTTGACGACACTACAAATTGGATCAGTTTTCTGAACAGCATGAACGCGATATCTTGGAGTACCAATGACGAAGATGATTGTACCAATGAACATGCCAATGAGAGAGACACCAAAGCCCCAACCCCAACCAACATCAGTCTGAATCCATACAATTAGTATCAAGCTCACTGTTGCTCCAATGCTAGCAGTTAGCAAGAGCCAGTTGAAGTAAGCAGACAAACTCTTCGCTTCCTTTGGATTGTCCTCATCGAATTGGTCAGCACCATGAGTTGGCACACAGGCCTTTATGCCAGCTGTGCCGATGGCGATTAAGTATATAGAGATGTAGAGGAAAGCAGAATCACTTCCATGGACTTTTTCACAAGTGGGATCGAAGGGATTAATGCATTGGGTTGGCTTAAGTGTCTTAGTTTTGGCTTGCACTGTTAGTAATATGAGTCCCTAATCCAAGAAGGAACAAAATGGATATGTATGAATAACAAAGAAACAAAGAAATGGATACCCATGAAAAGAGAATTATCTGATTTGATTCGTTCTCGATAGCCGTGAGATGATTATTTGGAAAATAAGTTGTGGACGGAGTTAACCATTTCGATAGCAGATCAAGATCTAATGTTGTAATATACATGCATGAATCACGAACATTATACCATATGTTGATGTCAACTTTCAGAAAAACATCTTATGTAGATGTTGCTAGTTAATAAATAGAAGATAAAATTGCTGCGAAGAAGTTAATATATCATTGAAACAGGTCCAATTCAAAAACTTATCTCATTTTCAGACAAAAATTACTTACTGTCTAGTTAAGCTTTTCTAAGGAATACTATTCAATCAGTAATATGTCCCTCTAGATCGCTCAATTTAGTAATTGTTACTGCGTTGAGCTCTGAATATGCATACATTTAAGGGCTACTTAGCTTATAGATTAAATCATAAGTTCTCTAAAGTTGACTAATGAAGTTGGATGATTAATAATAGACCTTTAGGTACCAGATAGTTTACTTTTCAGATAGTTTAATTTTCATAGTTCACTCTTTTGAAAAAGTCAATCGTAGTAAAAGGGAAAGGATAAAATAACGGTAATTTACCAGGATTTCAATTGAAGCTGATATGAGAATAACTTTGTATCTGGCTAACAAGGCATCTGAAACGTAGGCTGCAACTATAGTCAGGATGTAACTTGTCCCCAGAAAATCTGTAAGCACTTTAGTCGACTCATTCAAGTCAAAATGCATTACATCGAAGAAGTATGTGGATATATTAACGGCTAGTGCCAATGTGGCAAAGCTGTCCATTCCATAGAGAGCTGCATAAGGAGCAAAGTGATCAGTAAGGAGAATATATAGAAAGCCGTTACATGCATTAGTACTAAACATTGATGATAGATTAATTATCTTAAAACCCCTCCACTGCACTAAAAGTCTGAAGTTGTGATAAGAGTTAAGGTTACAATTTTGTATTCTAATGGACTCCTCCAAGTCGAGAGTGGCCTTTCATCGAGCTGAAACCTGGCCTATTAATTTATTGACCGGTACAACTTTTAAAAATATGTTTTAATTGTGCATGCAATGTGAGCTCTCTACCATGAAAAGTGCTCCAATACAGCTCTAGTTTGTATTCTTGAGGCGAACATGCATAATAGTGGAACTTCTTTAGAAAAGTTCCCACATTAATCTGGGATAGTGTTTCAAGTAAAGATTCTATCAGGTGATTTATATATAGCATTCACATATATTTTAACTATTCTGTCTATGGTGGAGACAACCCCACTCCTACGGGAATGATTATGATAGGATTTGTATTCCACTTCTTCTTGCTTAAGCGCCACAAATATTCACATATTTTCCTCTAACAAGAAAGTCATTTGTATATGCTTGTTATAGACACACCCTACTAAGAATATTGGTAACCATCAGAGTTCTCCTTATCCTAAAACAAAAGGAATGATTTAACCAACGAACATAAGCAATCTGTCATCGTAGAATATTAATAACAATTCCTTAGGTTTGACTTCCTTTTGAAATTTTTTTAGAAATTAGTTATTTATCTCAGTTGATTCAAAATTTGTAGTTAATTACCAACTGGAGATCATACAATGATTCATACTTATGATCGAATTTTTAAATAGGCTTTCTTTCCAATAGAAAAATATAAAATAGTCAGTCAACCATGACCAATTAAGGAACCATAACTGATTTCTAAGTTGATATGTCAAACTTCTGTGAAACGCATTAAGGCGATGAAATGGTACAATGTAGTCATAGACTCTAGACAATGCATCATCCTCCATATTCACAAGGGAAATTAAAATAAAAACATGAAACTCCGATGCCACCTATCAACAAATTAATGAATGAACATATTAACTTAGAGAATTTATTGTGCTTTTATTTCTTGAACAAGTGCAAGTTGATAATAATTTCTATTGGGATAAGTAGTAGCATTCTATTGGAGTTAAGTGTTTATATAGACTTTTCTGAAATTCTTTCTTTATTCCTTTTTATTTATGTCATAATGTAATGCGTTAATTTGAATTTTCACATGACTAAAATGTCCGTTTTCCTAGAATGTGCAAACATGCATGCACACACGCACATACAGAATAATATATAAACATGTATATAACTATATTGTCTAGGTGTGTATATATGTATATGCATACGCATATACGCATGAACATGAAATGCGTGCGTGTGTGTGTGTGTCCATGCATGTATGTATATGTGTTTGTTTGCGCTTTCCTTTCGGAATTACCCAGTATAAACAAGGAACTGAAGTTTCCTCCATGTTTGTCTTTCTTAGCTGGTCTCCCCCTCCAATCCACTTTCCCTGGTACTAAAGTTTCCTCCTACATTATTGAAAATGAAGGTTAATGATATAGAGAGAAAATAGCAGTTACACAATGCATTAAGATAAGAGAGAGATTTTTGCATGTATACCATGAGTATGAGAGAGCTTCAACTCTATCCTACTTTCTCCAGGATGACGCCAAAGCTGGTGGGGCTTAAATCTTCGTGCTCAGGAATTTATACTGGTAGAAGATGACATTTAATATGCACTTGATGTTACATATATTCTTTCAAATGTGAACTATTTTATTAGTTGCTTTAACTTGCAAGAGAGAGTTACCAGTAGCATAAAAGTACACCAAGGTCAGTACTAGAGACTGAACACAAGACTGGAACAAGTCAAGTATTCTGTACCAATTAATTAGAGCTGACCATTAATTTTCTATCAAGGATTAGCTCATGGGAATAGCTATATCCCAATTTCTTATTCGTAGGACTATTTCATGTGATTCATTCTTTATGTATTTTTATCACCCTCTCTGTAATAATGGGTTGACATTGTCCATTCAATGAAGTTCGAAGCCGCCAAAACGAGCTCTGATCATCTTATACTCTATGTTAATGACCAAAGAATTTCCATCTAATATGGTCAAGAAATACATTGACAAGTAGACGGATTCAAGTCGTGGTCACTCTTTATGAACGAATCAAAATAGTGATTTTTATACTATTGGTTTCCTTTGATTGTGTGTAGTGATTTTTATACTATTGGTTTCCTTTGATTGTGTGTTGATCATATCTTATATCTTACTATGTATATCAAGATTCA